GGGGGCGGGGGAGGAGGAGTGAAGCAGGGATGCAGGAGCCAGGAGCAGGAGCAGGAGCAGGATGATGATGATGATGATGATGATGATGATGATTATGATGATGAGATGATGATGGATTGATGATGATTGATGATGTGATGACGATGATGATGAGGAGGAGGAGGAGGCAGGAGGAGGGGAGGAGGAGGAGGAGGAGGAGAGAGGAGGAGGAGGAGGAGGAGGAGGAAGGAGGAAGGAGGAGGAGGCGGAGGAGGAGGAGGAGGAGGAGGAGGAGGAGGAGGAGGGGGAGAGGAGGAGGAGGAGGAGGAGGAGGAGGAGGATGGAGGAGGAGGAGGAGGAGGAGGAGGAGGATAGGAGGGGGAGGAGGAGGAGGAGGAGGAGGAGGGAGGAGGAGGAGGTAGGAGGCGAGGAGGAGGAGTAGGAGGAGGAGGAGGAGGAGGAGGAGGAAGAGGGAGGAGGAGGAGGAGGAGGAGGAGGAGGAAGAGGAGGAGGAGGACGAGGAGGAGGAGGAACTATGCTTATATCTCACGGGATAGTCTGTGCATGGCGCCCGTGGAGGCCCAGATACCGAAACCCGCGCCGCGGCCCCGTGTCGGGGGTTGCTACAGGTGCCCTCGGCCCAAGGTGCCCCCAGCTTTTCGATCCATTCTGGAGCCCTCCGGGTCCCGGGGTTTCCCAGGGGCATCGTGGAACCCCGTAGGGGCCTGTTGGGTACCTTGTGGCGCTCTCGGGTTTTCGGGTGAAGTTCTCGAATTCACCATTCGGGTTTCCCTTCGGACACTTTTCGTGGGGCCGTCCTGGGGCCTTCCTTGGTGGATTCCGGGGCCCTCTTGGGGCCATTTTGGGCCGTTTGGGGGTCTTCTTGGAGGCATATGGAGTTTCCTTGGGTTGATTTTGGGGGCTTCTTGGGCTGCTGTGAGACGCGTGACAGGCCAAGAAGCGAATGTGCAAAACTTGGGTGTTTCCCTTAGGGGACGGGCCGAAGTTTGCTCCTGGGAGCCTCTTGGGATGCGTCCTGGTGGCGTGTCGGGGCGTGCAGGGGCTTCTGGGGCCGTCCGAAGGTAGTGTCGGACGTCTTGGAGCGATCTCTTCAAGAGTCGTAGCCCTTTGGGGCCGTCGGGGGAGTCCCTTGGGGCTGTCCTGGGGCCCTCCTCGGTGGCTGCGGAGGCCCTTTTGGGGACCTTTTGGGCCGTCTGGGAGCCTTCTTGGAGGCATATGGGGTTTCCTTGACTTGATTTGGGGGCTTCTTGGCTTGAAGGCCGAGAAGCGAACGTGCTAAACTTGGACGTTTGCCTTAGGGAACGGGCCGATGTTTGCTTGTGGAGGGCCTCTTGGACCGCGTCCCGGTGGCGTGTTGAGGCGCGCAAGGGGTCTCGGGGGCCGCGTGAAAGGCCAAGAGGCGAACGTGTTGGACATTTGTGCTTTCCATCGAGAATGTGACGGTTGTTGCTTCTGGAAGGCTTAGTGGGGCGCCTCTGGGTACCGTCTTGAGGCGTCTTGGGGGCCCGTAGGGCTGTCGGGAGGCAATGTTGGACGATTTGGGGCACTGTTGAACGACTTGGGCCGACCAGGGGGCATCTTAATCACCCTCTTGGCCCGTCTTGGGGTCTTCTTGGGACCGTTCTGCGGCTCTCCAGGGCCGTTGTTATGGCTTCTGGGGCCTTTGTAAGGCGCCCCAAAACCGTCTTGGAACTCTCCTGGACGCCTTTGGGGCTGTAGGGGGTCGATGTTGGATGCTTCCTGGGCCGTTGTAGGCCTCGTGGAAGCCCCAGAGGCGAACGTGCTGAAAATGTTGTTTTTTTTCCTGGGAATGAAACTTTTTTGCTACTGCAGGCCTTCGTGGGGCTCCTCGTAATAGCTTTGTAAAACGTCTCGGGGGCCTCCGGGGAATCGTCTGCAGGCAAGCTGGGGCGGTTTGGACCGAGTCGTCCCCCTCGTGGGCCGCCAAGGCCTTTCGGGACCCTCTTGGCCCGTTGTGGGTCTCTTGTGGGGCCGTCCTGCGATTGTTCTGGGCCGTTGCTCTGGTTTCTGAGGCCTTCGCGGTGCGCCCGGAAGCCGTCGTGGAGCCTGGAGGCAATTTAGGGCGGTTTGGACCGAATCGTCCCCCGCGTGGGCCGTCTGGGCAGCCTTTGGGGACCCGGCTGGCCCGTTTTGGGGCCCTTTTGGGACCGTCCTGCGGCTCCCCTGGGCTTTTGCTTTGGTTTCTGCAGCCTTCGTGGATCGCCTGGATGCCGTCATGGAGACTTTTGGGGGGCCTGTTGGGCTGCGGAGCGTCGATCTGGGAGGCTTCTTGGACCATCGTGGGCCGCGTGGAAGCCTAATATGCGATGTGATGAAAATGTACGTTTTCCCTGGGGAATGGGACGGTTTTTGCTTCTGGAAGGCCTTCGCGGGGCGCCTCGTAGCACTTTTTCAAGAGTCTTGGGGACTGATGGGACCGTCTGGAGGCAATTTTGGGCGGTTTGGAACGATCTTCTGTCGACTCGTAGCTCTCTTGGAC